AACGAAAGGTTGCACAATGATTTTTGATCATTTTTTAGCGAAGACATATAACTACTAGCACTCGATATAGAAGATGATGGTTTAAAATGTTTTCCACTATTACTAACTCCGTTTATCGAAGTATTTCTTGAATGTAAATTGCTTTTTGATATTTCTTGATCTTTCACGGTCATATTATTTAATCGATCTTGTACATCATTAATGGTTTCATCGACAGAAGGACTTGGAGTTCTATATTCTGATGGAATGATGTTTAAATCAGAATTGGAAGTGAGCATGGCTATGGAATTATTGAAATTGTTATATGAAGATGGTATTGGACCAGGCCCATCATTATTTGAATTCTCTAATGGACTCATATTACTAGTATAATTCATTGGGAAAAGACCAATTTGACCTTTGACATTTTGGCCCTAGTTAAAATTTTACAATAAATAAAATATCATTGATTGTTCAGCGCGTAAACAAAAAAAAAGATAGAAACATGTATAAATATGAGTTACCTGCCACCATCCATCCCCGTAAATATCATCCGTTTCTATGACTCGTATTGGTTCTCCGTATTGAAAGGGAACTTCATCTTCATTAGTAGCTTCAAAAGTGTGAATCGCATAAACTATTTCCAAATCCATTATGTATTAATATTTATATTTGTTAATTAAGTTAAATTAAATAAAGTAATTTATCAAGTTATCTAAACTTGAAATATAATTTATATTTAAAAAAAAAAAAAGGAAGTTTTAGATTTAACCAATAAAAGAATAATAAACGTTTTGTCACTGACAAAATCAATAAACGAGGATGAAAAATGTTTTAAGTGTTAAATGGGAGGAAAAATATAATTTTTTCAATAAAAAAAGAATGGAATGGTGGATTTTTAATATTATGTGTTGCGTGTGTATAAATAATAATAAATGTGAAATGTGGTGAATTATTTTTTCTTGCGAAAATGTGAAGTTGTGAAACAAAATCAAATGATAGCATAAGTTGGACCGTTACCATATATGGAAGTGAGTTTCTGTGTAACTTATGCATCTAAGTTTTTATATACTATTTAAAGAATATAATTCACTTGTCAACAAACATAAAACTCTTTTGAAAGGGACATCGAGATCTTCTTGCAAAATATGTTACTTTTAAAGATTGTTCCTGCAGAAGATAGATCTTCA